GATTCAGATGGATCTCTTGAATGGGTTCCTTTCTCTGCTCGCTGAACGTAAGATGTCTGAGGAGAATTGGCGCCTCAAAACATAACGTGTCCATATCTTCGGAAGCAGCTGCATAGACCTTCCCTGCCCGCGCTAGCACTGCACACTGCGCCTCCGCCTCTGTCGGGGCGTCGATGTACGGGATACCCATCAACTTCAACAGCTTTTTGCATTCCGCATTGTGTTCCCTTGTGACACGTACCGTGCGCCGCGAGAACTTCTCGACGTCTTCCGCAGTGCCCGTCTCTTTTGCTTCCTCATGAGCTTCAGTAGCCTCTGCTTTTCGTGCAGTACGCTTCGCCAGTTCACCGGACTTGAGCTTCGGTGGAGCCCCGTCAAAGACATAGAGAGGTTTGATTCCGTTATCGACCATTCGCAATGTCCGGTAAAACATTCCCATCAAATGCGACGTCGTCTCGCCCGATTCGCTCATGAGCTGCTGGCCCTCGGAGCGAACGGCGATTAAGAAACTATAGATACTCATAGACCTGCAAGCTGTGAGTGACATGACCTGACGTGTTCGAGAATGTCTTCAACGCACGCATCCTATTCACCCATGGCTCGTAAGTATCACTACAACTTTCAAATGTGTTTCCATGCTGGCTAGCAGGATCGGGAGAAGAGGACGACATACGATGGCGACCTTCCGGCCAAAGTGGTTCTTGATATCGCCCGACTTGACCGCATCTGGTGCATTCTCTTGAATCACTTGAAACAAATCTAGAGCACCCCCAAATCAGCTTCAGTCAAGCTTGAAACCATATGGTGGCAGCTGCTTAACAGGCCCAAAGTTCACTTACGTTTAATACCCATGGCAGCTGCTCTAGAATTTAGAATACAGCCAAAAAAAAAAAAGAGGATGATCGCTACTACCTTGCTGTATTGGTAAACCGCTCACCAGAAAAAGAAGTGTTCGAAATGAAGCTCAAATAGCTTGACTCGCGATCAGACGCGCCGCGGAAGGTTGAACGCGCCATACATCATTTGAGCCTGATTGGGATTAGTGCAATTGAGCTAGATGTCCACGTGATGCTGAAACACCGCTGGAGTCTCCCCGGCCTCAGGCGTTAAGGCCGTAACTGTAAGGCGGCGAGACCCCAGGCCCAGACTTTTGTTCTCCGCTTGAAAGGTACCTTAGGAACTTGGAAAGCCGAAAAGGAGTCAATAACGGGGAGGGAGGCGCTGCTATTCGCTGACGGCATGCGTGTCTCCTCCGTTCTCGGTCGATAGATAATAGATAAGTGAAGTTGGTGCATATCTAGGCAGTGAGGCACAGCTACCTCGTACTAGGCCGGACTTGATTATTCAGTCTCCCCCTCACCCCTCTTCAACGCGGGCAATATTCGTTGTGAGTAAAGACCAATACAACGGTACAATTCTACGCGCTGCTTCGAGAATGACTCTCCCCTTTTTACAGTAACCATGAAGCGGAGTCGCATCCATTTCGAAGCCGATGGCCATGCGTCGTCAGCCTCTCCTCAGGGAGCATACCCGCATATTGCGACCGATGAGGATTCGAGACTTCACAATCCGAAGCATATCCCTAAGATCTCACGGAGAATTCGTGCGTGTACGAACTGCAAGAATCACAAGGTGCGCTGTGATAAGGAAGGGGAGGCGCCATGTCAGAGATGCCGGCGCATGGGCTTGGACTGTATTGTCAACAAGAGCCTACAGACTTTGCTGGACGATGAGACAGGGTGAATATAGTCCATATATATACCCTTCAAATGTTGTCATCGTCATTGTTGGTACACCGTCGCTAATATTTCCGATGATCATACAGGTGGAAGACGACGGTTGAGCTTGCAATGACGGATTTACTCCGAAAGGCTCAGCTACCGGACTTGTCATACTATCAGTCACTGGGTAAATCGATGGAGATTCCTTCCAGCAAAAGAGATCGCAAAGGATCAACAGCATCAACAGAAGATACTGGCACCGCGGCGGTCAATAATGACAGGAGACCGAGCTCGATAGGCTCCAACTTGGACTCTGTCGCAATAGGTTCAAACTCATCGTCGAATTATTCCTGTTCTAAGCAACAGTACTCCCTCGACCGAGAAGAAAATGGGACATCATCCCTGATTACTGCACCAATGGGAAGTCTATACGAAGTGACTGGGCTGAGCGATATCCCTCCAAGCTCTCCTGGACGTCAACATGCATCCGACCGGGCACTAGTGACCGACTTTATATCGCGAGGAGTGATGGATCTTCAAGAGGCGGTGGAGCTATTCCACTATTTTGATCAGGTGCTCAGTCGTTACCTGTGGGATGGTATGACGTTGGTGCACAAGGACCTTATATCTGTTCGCAATTCTTCCTCAATGCTCTCCGCCGCCATTCTTGCTGTTTCAGCTCTCCATTTACCCAACAAGGAGAAAACCTTCGATACTTGTTATATGGAATTCGCGAAGCTGGCTTCGGAATCCATGCTTGATAGACACCATACCCTCGACGACTTGCGTGCGTTATGTATTGGCGCATTCTGGCTTGCGGATGTCAGTTGGAAGCTTTCAGGATATGCGGTCCGAATTGCGACTGAACGAAACCTTCACCAATCCTATCGCAAGGCCATGCAGGGCTCTCTGGAGCATATAGAACAAGTCAGGCTATGGTACCTTCTCTATGTAAGTCTAGGTCGCGACCATGAGTTTGTGACGGCTGCCAGATTATTGACGCACTGATCGACTGCATAGACCCTGGAGCACCATTTCTCTATCGCATACGGACGACCGCCTATCATTCATGAAGATCCAAGCATCGCAAATCACAATACTTTTACACTGTCTCCGACGGTGCAGCAGTCGGATCTGCGCCTTCACAGCCAAGTGGACCTGTTCATCATCTTGACTCGAATATATCACGCTTTCGGCCCCGATGTCGACTTGGAGGTTCCCGAGAGCGAATTCTCCACAATAAATAAGTTCGACTCTGAACTTGGTGATTGGCGCTCCGCCTGGCTCCCTCGTTTAGGTACGCATAACGGCTTGATCTGCTTGCGTTGGTGATCTGAAAACAACGCTAATATTGAGATGAAACAGCTGGAAGTCGGTATGTCGGCGCATACCCTTACAAAGCCGTTTATCTGCACTATCACTTCTCTCGTCTGCAACTAAACTCGGTTGCCTTGCGGACATATCACTCCTCGAATTCGTCGCGGCCGATGTCCGCTGCACGCAAGAAACATGCGAATCTGGCGATAGAATCTGCGATCGAAACACTCCTGGTGGTACTCGATGAACCCGACATTCAAAGAGCTTTGATCGGTGTTCCTCTGTATCTCCACAGCATGATCACCTTTGCAGCTGTGTTCCTCCTCAAGATTGCCGCCAAGTGTTGCTCCGGGACGCTGCCCGGTGCACAAGGCCAGCAAAACTCCATTGCCTCGGCGGGTCTTTCAATCGACGCGCCTTATGTGCGTGCCCTGTTTGGTAAAATTATTGAGCTGATGGTCACTTGTAGCAAGCGTGCTAGTGAGCGCCATCTTACTCATCATATAGCCCGTGGCTTGCGCAAGATGCTTACAGGATTCGAGGAGTGGGAAAAGAGAAACTCGGGGGTCCAGCAATCTCTGGGACAGAACGCTTATGAGACCACCTCAATGTTCAAACCCATTATAATTCCTGGAGCGCAACCATTGGGTGAACGAGACACCATTCTGAGCCACCCTCCTCCGCTACCCGGAATGGCTCCTCTGTCGGCTGAGCGCAGTAATGGGTACGAACCTGCTCAATTGCAAGGAAAACAGGAGCCAGGTCTCTCGGTAGGCTCTCTGGATCCCATGATGGCTGATTTATGGGGCTTCGACGAGGAGTATTTCCCTACGGGAGTCTTCGATTTTCTTCAGTCTCAAATGCCTGCTTGAAGGGCCGGGGCAATCTATCGGCAACAACGCGCATCGTCTTGATACAGCATCAAGTGAAAGGACTATAATTATGTGACTCGTCTTCAAATTACTCGAGGGCCCAGGTTGAAGCTCTGGCTGAATACTCCAACATTATTACTGGATTATTCCCGGTCTTACTCGGTCGACTCGAGCTTCTGTCATACGTATTCCATATTTGAGTCGGCGGATGAACAGTTGAGCACTACGTTGTCGTGCCAATGTGTCCACGATCATCTTGAATGGCTCGAAAGGCCGGGAGTTGCCATCCGTGAGCATGCAGCCCAGAAAGTCCGTCCGACTCCCCACCGAGAAGACATTTCTCTCCCGACATTCGATTCCTCCAATCATGAAACCGATCTTCATAAGGTAATTGCAGCTGTCGCTGAACGACACCTTCATAACGATACACTCCACCATAGACAGAGGCATGAAAGACGAATGTTGCCCAGATATCATCCGGAAGGGAGGCATTCGGCTATCGAGTAAATAGTTGGTGTGACACGCATGTAGCCTAGAACAAATGCACATAGATTATTCAAGAATTTTGTACAAACAGTCAAACGCCTCGAGTTAAGACTTGCCTTATCCAGACGGTTATTGGATGGTGGCACCGACGGAACGGAAACAATCCCGAGGCTTAACATAACCCAAAAAAGTACCTTAGGTGGTGCTGATGACCGAGAATCACCGAGATCGGCCATTCGGTGTGGGCATATATAGGTATGGATGAAAATCGATGGTTGAACTCGCTTCGATTCAATTCTTGCTTCTTTCGCTACGGAATTAACGACTCTTCAAATTGCCTCATAGAATACTTTGCTTATCGGAGTGCAGACGAACACCCCGATCGACTGCCAAGGTCAAGCTTTATCCGGACAATCGGCCTCCCCGCAATTCATGTTGCATATTTGCTGCTCTGGATACCATCAGGTGCCGCAGTCAATTCAGAGTTCGACTTGGGAGCCGTGCAGGAGAGATTCAGTAGAATAGATCCCGGGTCTTTATTTGCTTTGCACTACTTCACCCACATTCGTTCTTCTCGCGCCGCATTCTTTCCTTCGAATCTATCATGAACCGCTCAATCTTCCACACAGCATCGCGTCACCTTCGATCGGCAAATCGCCTATATAGGGCACCGGCGGTCTCCCGGAATACTTCGGTGCGAGCATATTCGACAGTGTTTAACTGGGAGGATCCCCTCGCCGCGTCGGAACTGTATACGGAAGAGGAATTGGCGATTCAGGACACAGCCCGACAATACTGCCAAGAGCGATTGCTTCCTCGTGTTCTCGGTAAGTCATACCTAAGGATGAAGGGCTGTGATTTTAGCTGACAGATCTGCATTTGTTTAGATGCCTATAGAAATGAAGACTATGACCGTAAGATCCTGGAGGAAATGGGTGAGCTAGGCCTGCTGGGCGCGAGCATTGAAGGATATGGATGCGCCGGTGCGAGTACGGTTGCCTCGGGGTTGATCACGAAAGAAGTCGAACGGGTGGACTCGGGATATCGATCGGGAATGTCTGTGCAGAGCTCGCTGGCGATGACGGGTATCTACGAGTTCGGCACTCAGGAGCAAAAGGATCGATTCCTACCGCAACTGGCCAAGGGAAAACTGGCGGGCTGCTTTGGTCTTACAGAACCCAACCACGGCTCCGACCCGGGGTCGATGGAGACGATTGCGCGCGAACACCCGACCAAGAAGGGATACTACTTGTTGTCCGGAGCTAAGACATGGATCACCAACTCCCCCATCGCGGATATCATGTTGGTTTGGGCCAAGTTGCAGACGACCGGCAAGATCAAGGGGTTCATCGTCGAGCGTAGCCAGTGCCCACCCGGCACGCTGCAAACGCCGGCGATCAAGAACAAGACCGCTCTGCGCGCATCGATCACGGGCATGATCCAGATGGACGACTGCCCTGTGCCCGCGGAGAACATGTTTCCGGACGTCGAAGGCCTCAAGGGCCCTTTCACCTGCCTGAACAGTGCCCGATTGGGCATTGCGTTCGGTACCATGGGCGCTCTGGAGGACTGCATCGACCGTGCCCGCACTTACGCACTGGAGCGGAAGCAGTTCAAGGGCAATCCGCTGGCGAAGTACCAGCTCATCCAAAAGAAATTAGCCGATGCAGCCACTGATGCGGCATATGGAACGTTGGCTGCCACTCAGGTCGCCCGGCTCAAGGACGCGGGTAAGAGCACTCCCGAGATGATCTCCATGGTCAAGAGGCAGAACTGTGATCGAGCTCTAGCGAATGCACGGCTGTATGCGTCTCCCTTCCTGCAATTCTTTCCGCTGCTGAAAGCCGAATCATACTAACGCCTTTTTTTTTCGATGGGTAGGCTCCAGGAGATTTTCGGTGGTAATGCAACCAGCGACGAATACCATATTGGACGACACGTAGCCAATCTATTTGTGGTGCAGACCTACGAAGGACAGAGTGACATTCACGGTGAGTACCCGGCAGATATCATCATGATGAGTTCAAGACTGACATTGCTGGCGTTTAGCATTGATCCTGGGACGGGCCATCACAGGAGTCCAGGCGTTTGTCTAAGACATTCTAGCCCTCCCTGGCTGACTTGTAGGAATGATTGCTTTAGAACCATGTTTGATGTTGCCTGTATATATCCAAGCCGCAGCAGGATGATGAGATGATAGCCTGAGGCAGAAGAAGCCATAGCAAACGACTACCTTACCTACCTTATGCTACCACAATTCTCATACCTTACCTTCTCATTCCGTACTCGACCTTACATCTGTAACATGTACCGAAAGAATCTGATATCTCAGATCTTTCACTTGCCACCACCGCCTTACGAGATGCAAAAAAAGAAAGCTCGCATAGGTACCTTAGTCTTACTTTGTCATGATTTGTAAATCTGTGCGATCCGTTGTAAGAAAAAGAACAGGGCTGAATGAAAAGACAAAGGAAAGATCCGTAATGGCGGATGGATCGTCCACTTAAAATTGAGTACCGTACCAGGTTACCAACTGCCTGGCGGACAGTGGCGATGCGTCAGGTTGACATGGAAGGCCTGAAACGTCTCCCTGACCTGATCATCAGGGCTGATACTCTCAGTCAAGTCTGATTGCGAAAGTATACTCATTTATCATCTCGATCAGACTGATCATTTTTCTCTATATTCAAGGGATCACCAAATTCTCATATCATTATTCACTTGTGAGAAACGACCAAGACCATATGACGCAGTGTGGCTGAAGCATTAGTTTTGACGGTAATACCGTCCTGTAATGACGGTCACGTAAGAAACCCGAGATCCCGCCTTTCTGAAGTTTGCCTGAGGTTCTCTCCCACTCTCTCTCCTTCTCTTTTCCCTCTTTCAGCCCAAATCCCTTCCTCTTTCCCCCCTCCTCCTACTCTTCTTTCTTCTTTTTCGCCCTCCCATTTCCCGACGTAATCAAATCCATCGCTTATCCCTGGTGAGTCCACCTTCATCCTCCCCCATTCTATCATTCTCTTCCTCTTGTCTTCTCTTCTCTTCATCTTCTTCTTCTGTTCTATTTCAATCAATCAATCTACTGCTCACTTCCTGATCTTCCATATTAACATTCAAATCTCTGTGTGTGCAGAACAAACATTACCTCTCATTGAGTGACTGATCTTTTATCTACACTCTTTTCACATCACACACAACTTCCGACATGGCTCTCAAGAGAATTAACAAGGAACTCACTGACCTCGGCCGGTAAGACATTCAGTCCTTCGCTCTCTCTGTCTTCGTCCCTCATGTCCACTGCGGCGTGGTGTCGAACACCCCACTACTGCGGGGTGTTCGAGGCGTCCTCAGGGCGCTTCCACTTTCCGACTTCAAGACGTCATATCATCTTTCCACAATGCTGATATTGACCGTTCATCTAGTGACCCGCCCTCTTCCTGCTCTGCTGGCCCTGTTGGAGATGATCTGGTATGATATCTTCTCGCCCCTCCTGTCGCAAGCTTTGTTTTTACGGTCGTGTGTGCAGCTGCCATGTGTGGCAGGGCATACTGCATGAATGCGCCTGTGTCATGCAGCTACCTTGATCGGCACCTCACTACTTTTGAATATGGCCACTGACAGCTGGTATGTTCTAATAGTTTCACTGGCAAGCCACAATCATGGGTCCTGTAAGTGTTACCACCTTACTTCAACTCACGTGTCGCATTCAAGTCTTTTGTTGACATAAGAGTGCTCCAATATCTTACATATATGCGCTTGAATGCTGACATTCCTCTTTGACAGGGTGACTCGCCATACTCGGGAGGCGTCTTCTTCCTGACAATCCACTTCCCTACCGATTACCCATTCAAGCCACCCAAGGTCAACTTCACCACTCGTATCTACCACCCCAACATCAACTCGAATGGCAGTATCTGTCTTGACATTCTGAGAGACCAGTGGAGCCCTGCTCTTACAATCTCTAAAGGTATTTATCAATGTAAACAATGCACTTCCTTAGATGCTGACCGCTCTTCAGTGCTGCTTTCGATCTGCTCAATGCTCACAGACCCTAACCCGGACGACCCGTTGGTGCCCGAGATTGCTCACGTCTACAAGACCGACCGCCCTCGGTACGAAGCGACGGCCCGCGAATGGACACGCAAATACGCTATTTGATCTTCACAGTTGACTTCAGCACGGCCACCTCGGTCTTCCCAATTCTTTCTGCGTCATCTTTCGCTCCGTTAGATCAGATCCGAAGCCTGGCGTACCGTGATCGTAGATCCGTTCCCTGTTCTCACTGTGAAACATTCGCGTGTCTCTAAATTCGTGTTATTCTCTGCGCTTTCTCTCTAACGGCGGGAAATGTCATATCCTACGATCATAATGACCAATTGTCTTTGATGCATTCATAGCACTTTTTTTTCGATCTCGACTGGATGGAGTTCGACAATCCATTTGATGAACATAAAAACCTCAAGGCCGGGGTTTTTGGGCGGCAGAGGCTGTTGCTCGTATGGCCGTGAGGATTCTGCCTCGGGGAGAGGAGAGAGGTCGCGTGAGTCGGGAGGAGAGCGGAAAGGGAGGGAGTCTGGGTGGTGTGCCAGTGGTGGTAACGGTGTGTATTAGATAGCGATAGGTATAAAGGCAAAACCACGTCCAACCCGTTGACCGGTTAAGAATGAGTTTGCTTTCAATGCTTGTGCCATTCATGGGTTCCAATCTGTTGCACTTGTAGAGATCTCAGTCTAAACCGAGGCCCTTCTGCTAGTAAGTAAGTTTTCGGTGTCCTCTGGATTCTATTGTTCTACTGCACAGTTCTGCATGTTGTTGCTTATGCAACAGGACGAAGTACGGAAAGCTTGGTTTCGACAGTATTCAATTGTTTAGCTATGCAGTATGCTATAGAATAGTCATCTATCAAGCTGGAGCGTAGAATGGACCGCAGTATGCGGAGGATTACCCAACATGCATGCAAGATGTTCATAAGAATAAGTGTGCTGGTCGGCCGGTCATGCCAACAAATTCATGCAAGGTAAATAGAAAAGAAGACAATCAAGAGAATCACGACCCAGACAAAAAAAAAAAAAAAAAAAAAAAAGAAAAAGAAAATCAAGATGACTAGCCAGCTTCTCGAACTGTTCTATGGCCGCATCATAGTCTATGTGTTTCAAGATATGTAACAGAAATCAATGCGCTAGATTAGCTTTGCGATCCAACGAGACGACGATAAACAAAAACGCCCGACCTTGCTGCCTGTTTGATGCGTGGAGATATGCCACGGTTACACTGTCGTTACATGATGATGGAGGAGTTCTGAGAGAACGCAAAGAGAAAGGCGAGAATGTAGAAGGAAGAATCGATGATGATGAACCAAGGTGCGGGTCCTGACTCTGCTCAGGCAACCTGGCTGCCTCTCCGACTGCCGACCTTGGACGGAGCCTTGGAGGCTCCCCCGGATATACTGCCGCTTGCTTTGATGGTCCTTTGCGACACCTTGGATACATTGGTCGAGACCTGACTGACGCTATCGCTCGGTTGGATGGGGTCGTCGAATCTGCTGGATCGTTTGGAGACATGAGAGGGGGCCTTGGAGCGGTGAGATTGATGGGAGTAGGAGGACCTTCGTGAGACATCGACCTGACTTATAGAATCGTCCGGCGTGAGATTGGTTTGGATCTCAAAGTCATCCACGACGCTCTCGGGAAGCGGGATGTCGCGGGCTGAGACACCCGACTTTGCACCGCTGCGATACGAGGCGAACGACGCCACGGACCCTTCAGGCAGCGGGACCTGACGGGCCGTTCGTGCGGAGGAGGCCGTGCTTCCGGCCAGGGACTTGGCCACTGAGTGATGCGAAGAATGGCGGGAAGAGTGGTGAGAGGACTGATGATCCTGATAGTTGGCCTTGGATGGTTTGGCCGTCGATGCTGAATAGACGCTCTCCTTATCCATGACTCGCGACTTATCCGGGAAGCTGCTGATGAGAGTGCTGGGATTGCATGGATACGTAGTCGAACGGGCCGGTGGGGGATACTCAATCGCTCTCAGAGGGATATCCCTCACCGTGTAGATGCTCCCATCCGAGGCACGGCGTCCATTCTCGTCGAGGTACACACTGCCATTTTCTCCACGGGGGTGGACGAACTCGGTGTCTTCGTATATTGTGCTTGCACGAGGGTTCTTCGAAGAGACACTGCGAGTCAGAGTCGATCGCATATCTGGCCGGGAGAAGGTGCTCCTGGCGGGAGGAGCCTCAATAGCCCTGTAGCCCTGATGTTCTTGAGCTACCGAGGGAGCTTGCGATGGCGACGTCAGCTGAGGGAAATCGCGGGGTGTGTACTGCGGAGGAGGAGTGACCTCCGAGGGCTGCGAATCGGATTTGGTCATTGCATAAGCGATTGCTGCACCTGCAGCCGCTCCGATAAGCGTGCCGACGATCGTCTTGGCTGTGCTGTCGTCCTTCTTCTGGGTGGTGTGAGTTGTATGGTGGACAATATAGGTAGGAGACGGCGCTTGCTGAATCTCACGGGTGATGATGGTCGGTGCAGTTCGCTCCGACGGTGCTCCTCGCACTGAAGGTGCGCCTCGTTCTGAAGGCGCTCCTCGCTCCGAGGGAGCGGCTCGCTCTACAGCAGTGGTCGCCCTTGAGACGTACGACCTGGCCTCTGACCTCGCAGAGGGAGCAATACTTTGAGGCTTGACGGAGCTGACCTTTGTGCTAGCTCGGGACACCACGGATCCATTCTCAAGCAGGCCAATTGCTGGTGCACTGACTTCTGACTTGGCAGCTGAGATACCCGGACGGTATACAGCCTCGATGCTGTTGCCGTCAAAGTCGACCACTGCCGCACTGTAGTATCCCGAGTCCGCGTCACGCGTCTTCGGTTCACCATGAATCTTTCCGCCAGCTTTTAGTGCACTGATGAAAAAGGATCCTACAGCATCTTTTGACGGAGCAGGGAAAGCAACATGTGCTGCACCAGCTGGCGATCTATGATTTCGTCTCCGTCAATGGCTGCTATGGTGGGGGTGTTCATAAAGGATACTGACCCTGGCTTTTGTTCTGTTATCCAGAAGTCCGCCGGCTCGCCTGATTTCTGACCAAAACCAATGTAGTCATCATGGCGACCAATAAATTGATACCCTAGGGGCTGTAGGCAGGAGAGAAAGAAGGAAGTCGATGTTGGGAGGTGAGAGACAGTCAGGGTGAGGTGAGACACAGGCATGTCTGCGTTGGAGTTGACTCGCTGAGTATATACTCCAGGAGTTCAGAGCAGTATCTTTGACCAAAGGATGATATGTAGATATCAAAAGATGAGTCATAAAACAAGGATATCTATGAGCAACATCCAAGGAAAAGGAATCAAAGAGGAGCTGAAATTCTCAATTCGACTAAGAAGAGGACAGCGTATATATAATGCTCGAATTCTTGGATACAGAATGCGAATGACTGAGTGACACATTCAAAGCGAAGGGAATAGTCCAGAAGCACGAAGGAATGACGGTGCGATTTCAAGGCAGGTCTTGCTGTACGGATGGAGAGACCTAAGAATGCCCAACCGATATCCAATGACAAGCGGTCGGAAGCTTAGAGCAAATGTACGTATCCATGAAGGGAAATGAACCCCTCCAGGGATACAGCTTTAGCAATACAGGCACAAGCCCGCATGCCTAGCTGGATTCGCAAAGCATCCGAAGGGTGCCCGGGATTTTCCACCGGACCTCGACCAGAGTCCGGGCCCTGCAGGCCCTAGCCGGGAAAGGTGAGCTCCAATGGTTATCAAAATCATGGAGTCAAGAAACTCCTGATGCCACGCTCTTCTTTCCCTTTCGGTGAAGCTTAGAGCGCTCCACGGCGCCAGGTCATCGTGGGGCTCGGGGGGAGCCGCTGGACGCGGCGGACGGTCCAGTAGGTGGCCCTGTCCAGGTCAAACGGGGCGCCCATCAAAGAACAGTTGGAACCTGCTCAGAATTGGGCCAAGCAAGTCAGAACAGCATCGTGTGCCACTGCGTGAAGGGTACATTTAATTATGGACAAGTCAGGCGAGAGGCGACCAAGGTTCGAGTCAATCAGCCATATTGGATACTACTTGACACAGTGCTGATTCCTGAAAATAATGCCTCGAAGTACGGAGTAGCGGAAGGGAGGATAGGACCACCAGTCGAGAGTGATGAGCGTTACTGATTGATATTGGTGATTGCAGAATTCACTAAAGATCACTAGATGGATATGGTGCGACAAGAAACGACAGACGGACTTGTGAGTAGTTGACAGTATGGGGCCAGTGAGGCAGAGCTTGGAGAGGATCTCTGTGAGACTCAGACCGATGGTTTGTCCTGTTCCAATCCGGTTCCTGTTTGGGCACTTCTGCTGCTCTTAGTCGCCAGATGGTGCTGTCTGACCGCCAAAGTGCATCCACTGTCTGCGACTGTGCCGTGGGCGATGCACCATCTCATTGTGTCGTCAGGAGTCCGAGACTCTTCCAAAAGATGGAGCAGTTCAGTCGAATGACAAGACGAATCCGGCTCTCTCTGGGTTGTTTTGGAAACAGATTGTCGACGCACATTCGATGACCGCCATAGCTGTCCTGGAAAAAGGGTCCCACAGAGGATGTATGCGCCAAGTATCATGGACATTCACTCATGTCAGTAGCCGAGCATTTCATCCATACAGGACAGACCAGTGGCCAAGCAATCATCAAAAATTGGTTATGAGTTTCATATTCTAGACCTCCATAGCCAAAGAAAGAAAAAGTGAAGCGGAAGGTCCACCTAGCTGGGAAATGCAAGCCTCTCTGCCTGCCACGTCGAGGAGAGTAGTATCATAGTCCGCCTTCAATCACCGGAGCCACCCGATCAATAATGACTCCCCTGATACACTGTTTGTAAGGAAGCAGCTGGTAGAGTAATTGTAGCATCTTGGATTTGCTGTTGTCCTTACAAACGTTTTATCCTGCTGTAGAGTTGGAGGGAGAACAAGGAGAGTTGATCAAACGAGCATGGTCAAGTCCCAAAGATGGAAAACTGCTTAAACCTCAGGGTAGTTGTCGGTGCCTTGAAAAATGCCTATTATTTCAGGCACTCATGGTGACATGATTCATCCTCATCTTGTCCAATTCCTGGTCAATCATTTCCCACGCAATCTAGAAATCTCCATCTCATCGAAGCTCGGTATGAGTCTTGTTTCGTGCTCCTCACTGATCGAACCGAGAAGTTTCCTGTTCCTTTCGACTTGAGCAATGACAGGCTGATCTCTAGATGTTTATATGACAATACGCCTACAGGCTGTGATGCTGAAAATTTACATGAATCTGATTCATATATTCATATATATAAGACCAAACCGAAGGCTCAGTTATAGATCACACTGATTTTAGATTCACGCGGTTCGAGCTCCCGGCGCCGTACAGTCCCTCACACTCTGGAGGATAAACCAAGAGGCAGAAAGTCAAAGGCAAAACCGAGTCTGATTCTGTCTCTTAACTTCGACACTCGATGGTGGATGGGCCTGGAATAGAAGCTTTTCAGAGTACGGGAACACATGGATTCAATTGTCCGCTTGATGGGAGGAAATAGGAGCCGTCCAAGAAAATTTCAAGACCTTGAAAAAAGCGCAAGCGATGTCGTATTGGTGGTCGCGTATCAAGTCGCACTGGCCCCGAAAGCTAACAGCGAGAGGGAGAACGTAGGATGGTACCAGAACACACGCGAAGCGGGAGGCAATGAATCCACAGGCGGAGAATAACAGGCATGCGTCCAGAGGCATGCGTTCCCAATATTGGCGTTCGCTACACTTCGACCTCGGCGCCGGATGGCAGGTAGCGAAAAAAGAAAATTCGTCACTCGTCAAGATATGGCCGCTCTCGAGCACCAATTCGCGGCGTCGCTCAAAGAATGCCCCATGATTCCTCGGCAGCATGGCAGAATTTGCTGCAAGCAACACTGGCACTCAAACTGTAGTTGCTGATACTGATCGTATCATCCTTGAACGAGTCCGCAAAGTCATCATGGCCCTTAGCCATGGCACCGACAAAAATACAGATGCTTTCCTTGGGACCCAGGGAATCGATGTAGTCCTTGACCCGCACGACTGGGGCTTCGTAACTGAGGGTGACTTTACGGCAGTTGGGGGGCAAGTGGTCCGTAATAGGATTTTTGATGACCTTGAGCAGTTTTTCTTGAGAATTGGTGGAACGAATGGAAAGTCTGTGCAGCAGCTGAACCATCAAACCGGCGAAACGTTTGAAGGTACGAGGAATGCGGACCGATGGGTTGACTTCAATCAGGACGCCTTTCGCAGTGTGGATGTAGATTTGGAGCTTGCCGGCTTTATTGATCGGAGAGTCGAGAAGAGTGAGAAGACACTGTTGCGTTGAGGAAGAGCGGAGAGATTAGCAATTCAGAAATAAAAAGCTTTCATGGAGTTTGAGTGAGTCAAACCTGGTGAGTGATATCCGGCCGAGCCTCACTGATATCTCTGTTCATCTTGCGCATCACACCAATGTGTTCATCGCTATTGAGCAACGAGTATTTTTCATCCCGACCCGAGCCATTGCGACCACTGTGGGAAGCACGATATGTCTCCAAGCTGGCATGGGAGAGAACGACAATCAAGCGCTTTGTCTCCTTGTCATTGGCGGGAATAGGGACATGCTGCTCAGCGACAAGTTGAGGCAACTCGGGAGGCGGGCAAGACTGGGTCCCTGAAGATTGACCGCGGTCAGTCATGATGGATGATCGATCGCGGTTGGAGTAGGACCAAGCGAGGGGTAAGATGATCGTCGGAGCCTGGCTGATGAAACAAATCTAATTCGAAGAGGGGAAAGGAGAGGGGCAGAGTCTGGATCTGGAGTAGTGTGACACGGAGGGTAGCGCTCAAGGCGAGACACGAGCATGCGATTAACACATTCGGGAAGAAATTAAGAATGATGTCTGCTTTGAAAAAAAAAAAAGGTTTTGACAATCCTCCAAAGAAATGGACTATATGGGACGCTTCTAGGACAAAGCGTAGATCATAGAGAGATAATATTTGACCTAAAAGGCGGAGCACAGGAATGAAAGAGTGGGAAGAAAAGGTAGGGGAAAAAAAAGGGAAGGGGAACAAAGGACACAAGCAGATCGATTATGACAGATACATACTGGGTCTCTTTCTTTTCCCGGCGACTTGAGCAGCGTCCGACATGATGTCTCGATTGTTGAAGAATTCTTCCTTCGAGGATTCTGATCGCGAGAAGAGGAAGATTGATCTATTGTCGAAAAAGCGAAGAAGAGGTGCAACCAAAGAGAGAAAATAAAAAAATGTTCGGGGGAGAGTAATAGGAAAAGAAACGGAGGAGAAAAAGAGGAAGAGGAGATTTCTTTCGGTCACCCACAGGTTCAAGCACAAGCGGGATAAGAAGACCTCCGATACTACGGAGTATATACTGCTTACTACTGACTACTTCAGGAAGAATAGTTATTGAATATTGAAGGAAAGGATGGGTAATTCTACTTTTCTTGACAGGCATCCTCTCTGATCACATTTCTAGTCTTTCTTCCTGGAGATTTCCTCTATCCTATTCCCTGCCTTTGCCCTTGGGTTCCTCTGTCGGAGTTCGGGGAAGCAATATCTATCGGCGGGGAAGCGGACTTCTTTGGTCGATTCGCCATAGACAAAGTCATTACTTTGGATAATTATTATTATCATAACAATCATCTTAGCTAAGTCAACCAACTCGGTCACTTTCCATGGGAAAATCGCCGTAGTTGACTCTATTCGTATGGTGGATCCGCCCCAATCAAAGTACTGTACTGAGTAAAGTGTACCTAGGTAACCTGTCTTTGGACGACACCAAAGACCTGTTGCGCCAAGGCATTGGAATTAGGTGGTCAACGAATACTTCGTCTACCGATATTTGAATCCGAATTCACCGTCATACTCATCATCGGATATTTCTGACTCCAATACGAGACGACTGGCGTTCAACGGAGATTGCAGCGTCCGCTGGAGTTGATACCCTCCGAGGCATCGACATACTCTGATATTCGTACTTAGATAGGCCGACCAGCTATCGCAGTACGCAAGTTACGGGCTCGATCTCTATCAGTCTATCATTATTGACCTAGCACACCCTGAATAGTGTGCTGCAGCTGAGATCATCTTCGATCAGCACTATTTTCTTACGAATCTCCCAATCAGTTGTCCAGTAACCGGCGCATTCTCCCACAAGCAAGGATCTCAATCGATATCAACACCATAAGTAATCAATTCAGCCGACCTGATAGGCCGCATTGGGTGAGCTCCTGCAGGAAGGGAGTAAGAAATCCCTCAGGCGTCGTCGGTCTGACACCTCAACTTCCCCCCTCTATGAGCTTCCACGGACAACAATTCCTACGTAGAGGCAGTTCATCAAGCTGGTAGTTTAGTCCGCATCTACAGTTCTACGGAAATCACATTTTCCTGACTGATTATTGGTCGATCATGCGCCGGCTTGTATATCTTGCATGAGCAGGCGTGTCGACAGGTGTACATTCAAGCAAAAATAAAGATAAAAGAGAGCGCACAACACCTGCAAGATTTAGTGCGGAGTTTGAATAGAGCATGACAAGGACAGAGGTATAGAATGCTATCCAATAGTCTAACCAGCCCGCTCTTGACTGATTTGACGCATTGCTCGCAGGGCGTGTCTATACGGAGGACAACCCCTGTAGTCTCTTGATACACAAGAGGTGACATTCATTCTGTAAGTCCAGGTTGACTGTGATTGTGGTCGTAGAGAACGCCAGCTCACGTGTCTTTACAGGTATCTGGTCAGCAGACATCTGCATGGCAAGTAAGGAGTACAGCTCTAGCTTTGCCAGAAGAGCGGTGATCGTAAGCCCATTTACATCACCAGTGTGCAGTTTGACGAAGCTCCTGGCTGCCCACTTCATATGTAAATATATGTGGAAAAGACTGATAAGTCTCAAATCGGAGATGAGATATCTTCTTGATTCGAAGCAGTCTATCCCTCAAGGTCCATGGAGAGTGGCGGCTTCAAGGTTCTAGCCCTGCATTTTCCAACGGAAACGAATCGAGATATTATCAGTTTGGATCACAGTCAAGAATCTCACTGATCGTAGCACAAATGCCCGACATTTGACATCACTACCGTCTTCATACAGCCATTACGACTGATGCTGAGATGCCGGATGGATGCATGACTTGGGTTATGGCTGGTTATGTCGTCCGAACTTCTTGTGCCTCCTCGAAATGCGAGACGAATAGTCAGATGCATGATCAGAGAGGCAGTCGTCGTACGAAATGAACGCTCTGTAGTCAGCAACTTATTCGAACTGTCAATGTATGAATTGTTGCTGTTGCCTACCTCGAGTTACATCTGCCTAGGATCCCGTCAAATTCAACACCCCTTTAGCGATGTTTCTACTCCGTATGAGATGAGACTTTGATTCACCTCTTATGGCATTCAGTTCAATCACTTAAATCAGTAGTCGCCAGAAAGACAGATGGGCCAAATCACGAGGCGAAAAAAGGCAAGGCGCAGTTCCGTAGTCCGTACACCTCTTTCGTAACCCGTCCAGTAAAATCGTGACTCGTGAGCTCTCTCAGCTGTAAGGGCATAGGCGAGGCTGGGGAATCCGCGACACCTTGTGTACCAAGACTGCAGACGATCTCTGACCTCCAACCAAGCGAAGAGCACGTACGGAAAGGAATGAATGATGTCTGGTATGCTGCCAGTTGCCATCCCAAGGTTGCCGATCAACCCAACCCTTTGGTGCACAGTCAGAAGTCAAATGAAATAGATTGGTTGGGTTATGTAGGAAGACCTGGCAAATAAAACAAGGAAGTCAAGTAAACACCTGCCACCTCAATAGTAAGAACGATAGCGAGTTGCCAACACTCAACAGTGGTCGTATTGAACCTAAGCAAGGTATCAGGCTATCTATGGAGTAGCCAAGATAGCTACCTATGAGTGGCCCTGAAACTCCTCCAGCCATGTATGACGATTGTGGTTGGTGGCCATGATTTCAGGAGGCAATTCATCCCACGAGAAGGTATCCAGGTAACTAGTACTTCCCTATTATTATTCGTATAGGAGGCAAAAGGCCAAACCTAATGGAAATGAGGCCATGCCACTAGCTAAATCATGATTACCTAGCAGCTGCTCCTTTCTGTCACTGTCCCACAATCTTCAGCTGCCCAAAAGCCAACAGTGAGTATCCAAATATCCACTTGTGTTCACAGTGGTTAATAATATCATGTTTGTATCATCATCACTGCCCCTCCGTGTCCCATATTAATGGTAGCCTGGAGATCACCTCCGGTAGCTGTTCTCCATATCTTTCTGCTTCCCCTTGATTTTGTCTACATATACGGAGTATCAATACCATAATTCTTCTGGTCCTGCATCTTTTTCCGAATCATTGACCAGGCCCTTGAGTGCAATCACAGAAGACTGCGTCCCTTCTCTGTGGCTTAGATTGGTAGCCTCGTGTCCGAAGCGTCAAGATCCTCTCTCACTGCTACTATCACCAACAATCTCCCGACCGTTTTGATTGAACGAGAACCTAGTCCACTTTGGGGGCCTTTGGTGGCTTTAGTGGCCTTTAGTAGTACTCTGTACTACCTTACCTCCTTAAGGTATGTGAAAGGGCAACTGAAGAATGATCCCTGTCAAGCGCCCGAGCGAGCAATATGACTAAATGCGGATTAGCGCCTAAGGCAACGCGTTCCGTCACTCGTCGATCAAGCTTACATACGTACCTCGATTATTTATCGTCGGTTTATTATTATTGTTTCCGCCAAAATCCGCCCTGTTGGCTGGAACAAATATCGAGAATAATAATAATAATAATTAAAAAAATTCATCAGAATAATATAATCGTTAGGAATCATCTTTGCTGCTGCTCTTCCTTCACTTTCGCATTCGCCTCCCATCAGCGCTCACACACATATGCTCTTGATGTTCGACTCGGTTGAATCCGTGCTCTGAAGAAAAAAAGGGAGATGCCGTGGACTGTAACAAATTCATTCAAGCGGTACGTTTTGCTTTTTCGTCTGATTTTTCTCTCTTATATTCTTGCTCTCTTTGCTCGGTCACCATTATCACTCTTTACTCCTTGAATTACCGCCGTTCTAACTTGTCCAGCTCTAGAGGCCTCATGAAAACTTACGGAAGATCTCTATGGCGCGTCTATGATGACGACGATAATGGCCCTGCCGCCAAAAAGCGACGCGTCGAGTCGGGCAACGAGTCCGACGACGCGGAAAACAGTCTTCAATATGCTATTCGCGAGTCATCCGCTGCCATTTTATCGAGCCCGTCGCGTCGCAATTCGGTAGTCCTCTCGGAGGGGACGCAGGACGATGACTTGTCCACGCCCCCATCATCGCCGCCTCCCAGATTGACCCCTCCCCCGGCAAACACGAGAAAACCAACTTTTTCATTTCTGAAGCGCAAGCAATCGTCGACGAAAGATGCGAGCAATGGCACCCCGCTCACGGAAGTCAACTCCAACAGTGTGCGGTCGTCGGTCGATCCCCCCAAGAAGAAGGCGGCGCAGTCGCAACCACCCGTGTTGAAACAGATGCAGATCGATCTGGGCCACGAAGTCAGAAAAACCTGTGCTACTTGTGGGATGGAATACGTGCCCTCCAATGCGGAAGACGCGGCGCTTCACAAGAAGTTCCACGACATGAACTCGACGGGGGTGGATTTGGGGAAGGCTTTTATGAGGGCGAACGCATGCCGCTGGGTTTACGAAGCCACTCGGTTCGACGAAGGTTACGTTGTTATTGTGGACCGCAAGGCTTCTCCGACCGTCAAGAACCAGGCCAAGAAGGTGCTGGAAGTGATCAGCAAGGAGTTATCTGCACCTGAAATCTCAGACGATGTTTTATGGAGCCAGACGGAGCCGCCGGAACGTCTGCGGAAGAACGGCGCAGAGGAGAAAGTGGATCGCTACAAGGTGTTTCTGCACATGAAGGACAGCCGGTGCGTGGGAGCATGTCTCACTGAGCGTATCTGGGAATCACGACCCGTGGAGTGTTCGACAACGGCTCAGAATGGAGCGGATCAGCCGACTGACTCTGCGATTACTGTCCGGGACGAGGTGCACCCCGCCATCGTGGGTATCTCGCGCATTTGGACATCGGGCTCATCTCGAAGGAGAGGAATCGCCATGGATCTTCTTGATTGCGTTGTGACCAACTTTATCTATGGAATGGAAATTCCCAAGGAGCAGGTTGCTTTTAGTCAGCCGACGGAGAGTGGGAAACGTTTAGCACAGGCCTTCTTCGGGCCAGGAGTGCAGTGGCATGTCTACAACGAAAGCTAAAGCTGGTCACCAGCTTGCTAGCACGCGAGCTCAAGTGGATATTGGTTCGCGTTTTGAGTCTCTTTTTTTGAATGGGCCAGATTATACCCTTCTTTCTCGGGATGGATGAGCCCGGGTTAGAAATCTTGTGATGACCCTTCGTATCTGTTTGTATAATCTCAGGTGTTTGGGAAGGCGGCCTCTTCCTGTTTCTCAACTGGTCTGCATGCGCTCCATGTTTTTTCTTCTATGTTCTTTCTGGGTGCCCTCGAATAATCGGGTCAGATATCATTTCGCAATGTAACATATAGCCTTCTTTTTTGTTCACGTTTTCTTAACTCTTGTGTCCTTACTATATTTTGAGGCAATGATTGGAGGACAATCGAATACAGACAGAATACACACAAGCAACAATTAGACCATTTATTGAATTGAGAAATATCCCATCATTACAGACGTGCGCGATTCCCCGAGCCCGTTGGCCGTTGCGACTTGTGATACTCTGCGCTTGCCGGAAGCCGCGCGGATGACCGGCCCTCCATAGTTTAAACGCCGTAGCTGCTGCCATCTCACCTTCCTCCCTTTGTAACTCCCTCATCGATTCCATTCTCCCTGCCCTCATGGTCGGTGGGAGCCATTTACTCTGCGATGTCTGGATTAAATCCTTTCCGCCCTAAAAAGCCAGAGAGTGAGGTTCATCCGCCCCTTCCGAACGTTGGGCACGACGGTGCCTGGCGCCCCAGAGGTTTGCCTTGTCTATTATTGCCCTTTGTGTATAAAGTTGACGCTGACGGACTTTCATTAGCAGTGCCTCCTAATCCATCACCATCCTCCGTTTCGACAAACTCATACTACACTGCCGCTCCATTGACGGCCGGATCGTTGACAAATTCATCCGCAACTCCTCATGGCCATTCCGAGACCCCTCCCGAATCCTGGACGTCAGATGCTGATAACTCTCAAACTTCGGACGATCCGTCGCTGCCAGACCCTTTCCAAAAAAGTTCGCACATGAGCGATAATGATGTGGATGAGGGGGAGGACCTCAATGATGGGGCGTGGAAGCCGTCCTATTCTCATCGCTCGACCCCCGCGGGTGATCGCCGTCACTCAGCTTTCAGCATCGCTCCCCACTCCACGCCGTTTCCCCCAGGACCAGTAATATCGACTCCCACGACCGCTCTCGCACCCTCAGGAGGACCGAATGCGAGGACAGACAGCAACAATCGTTTGGGGGCGCTGGAAAATCAGAGGAACCTGCAAGAGAATACGATGAATGCGACGCCGAGCGCGCCTGTACCTATATCAGCTCCTCGTGGGGTACCTCATACGGGCAGTGGTACTGCAACCATACCTAGACAACATACAGTTGCTCCATCATCCGAGTTTGAGATGGGCCCGAAGCCTCTCGCTGTGCGTTCGGCAAACCGGGATAAGAAACCTCCACCGCCACCTAAAAGCCATCATGGGAAGTTGATCAATCCCAGTCCTCATGCGACATCTTCTCAATCTCAATCGATACCCGCTCGGCCAACCAAACGGTTCTCCTACCATGGCACCTCCTCGGAGACATCCCTTTCTCTAACTCCAGATACACCTCCCAGCGGGCCATCTCAGCCGAGGATTGATTATTTTACTCCACTAGATGATAACCCATCTCCTCAATCGGAAACGCTCAGACGTAGCCAGTCACAGCACAAGCGGCCGCCGACGCCGCCGCTGAGTAGACGACACAGTCAGATGAGAAGATCCAAAAGCACCATGTCCAGAACAAACCTGTCCCGACTATCAATGGCAGCTGGGAAGATTGAGGTGAATGCATCTCCTCCTCCGAGCCCAGGTCCTCGAACTCAGGAGCCCAGAATAGCTCCGCCAATGCCAGACGAGGCAGGACCTAGTTCAGGTCAATGTGAGCTCCCGTCGTCACGGCGAGCGTCTCAGGTGAACCCGCTGCCACCACCTCCCCCGCCTAGGAGGAATCGAGTTTCCAGCAGTCATAGCAACAGTAGGAGCCAACCTACCCTTCATGAACAGGAGAAGCGGGCAGAGGATGAGGACTTTATCCCTCGTCCGTCGAATGCCAATGACATCTTGGCCGATTTGTCGCGGCTACAGAAAGAGGTGGATGATCTCCGTGGTCACTATGAGAGCCGCAAGGTCAGTCACTAGGGAATTCACAACGTTACGATAGACCGGGGTGCTTATACATGTGCCTGGCACGAAGGTCTACTTGGCACACCTGAATTCTTAACGAACTGAATGATACATTGACTACGATTTGTTTATGCGAGTGACCTCACTGGGGAGACTTGGTATATATAAATTATGTCGGATTTAGCCGCACAATGAGTTATGAATACATAGCGATCAATCCAATACAGTTGCAGAAGCCGTTCTTCTTGCACGATGAAACAGAGGGTGATGGAAGGAATGTAGTGCCTGAAGGCCTTCAATATCAGGCAGGCATCGATACCTTAGGTATGTACTGTGATTGGCTCATGGCTTCATTCTTGTGATGACGTCAAGTTCCCCTCCTTTCGTCTTCAGCGACCCTCAATAATAGGGAGACAGACAGACAGTAGACAAAGGATGGATATTGAATTGATCGAGAGGTATATCAGGGGAATAATTAAAGGTTTTACAAGAAACACATTAGTTCTAGCCACTGCTCATCAATAAACTACTGCTCCATCTGAGAATCAAATCAGCTCGCCTCACTTGACCCTTTTATAGAAGAAACGCCTCACTTCACCTGACTGAGAGTTGAGTTTCCATACTGCCATAATCCACCTCATCATTCTAGAGCGCTTCCGGTGCATGACGAAAATTCCTTAAGGGCTCTTGTCACTGACTGCATCTTAACTATTGTATCCCATGCTATTAATCACCTCTGCAAGCATCTCAATCTGGATCCTTTCTGATTTCCATCGTTTATCTTATCTGTCCGTCTGATTATCTACAAGGAGTCCAACAGTTCAGCTGCGCGACGATCGCATCTTGATTGTTTCAAGCCAGACATCAATCTCCTTTGCTCTACTCTGCTCGATCTTATTCCTCTAAAAGCCACAACTCACAGACAAGAGAAAGTGACCATTATCATGACCACGCCGACCCTGATAGATCTACCTCCCCCGCCCTCGGATCCTGTCACGCCTTCGGACATGGGACCGTAAGAGCATCTCTTTTCTTTCCCCCTTCTCCCCCATTTACTATCTCCTAGATAGTGTATCTTCCGAAAAAGAGAGCGCAATGGATTGACTAGTATCATTCTTACACAGAGGTACACCAAATTCAGGCACCACATCCCTCTCGGCACTGTCCACCACCGCTATCAAAGACGGCCATCAGGGTCAGCCTCTACCACACGGGCGACATGCTCATCACTCGTCCTCTGCCTCGGCGACGTCTACATCTACTCTGGAGGCGGAGCGAGCCGATCGCATCTCCCGTCTCGCGGGGCTGGAACGTGTCGCAACAGCCCGAGCAGGAGGTGTTCCTCAATCGAACCTCACGTTCGCGACGGCGCACGGCCCCGGCTACTTTGACAGCGGATCGGGTTTCAAAGAAAGAAGCACTGTGGGCAGTGCCAGCGCCACTGGCAGCGTGGGTGCTCGTACTACATGGGCAAGCGGCAGCGATGCGCTCGACGCGGACAAGATGAGCGAAGACACGAACGACGACGATGGAACCTCTAGCGTGGGAAACATCAGTGAAGGGGACGTGAGCCTGGTTGCATTTGGAGAGGGCGCCAGTACGATCAGTGGGCCGATCTCGCATCCCGGTCTCAACCGAATGTCGTCGGGAGGTCGGCCGAGTTCGCTGGGAGCTGGAAGTCCTAGCATGAGCCGAGCAAACCCCCTCGCGTCGTCCCAGCCTGGAGTTGAAGACAATGCCGCCATGTCCTCCTCGCTATCTCCTGCGGGATCGAATACGCCCGAACAGATCCATGACGCTCGCATGCTGGACGGGATGACCTATGACAGCGATGTGGTCGACACGACCGTGAGAACCCCGCGGCTGGCCACGCCGTTCAGTCAGGGCCAGTCTGCCAATCGGAACGATGACTCGGGAATTAATTGAGAGGATAGCAGAATCCAAAAGGAGTGAAATGGGCGTTTTTTTACACAGATGGAGTCTTGTAACTTTAGCTATGGATCATGGGAGGCAGGCACAGTGATGGGAATTTCAGGTTGTGATGGCGGCCTCAAAGCAGATACCTCGAGAATGTGTATGATTTCTGTAGGATAGTTGATAACACCTTGAAATGGTTTAAATGAAATTGATTTTTGCATGCTTGACAGCACCTACGAGCACCAGGTACTAGCAGTATCGGTGGAGATTTGTATGGATCAGGATCCCGATGGCGACATCCACATGGCCACAATAACATAGGTAATACCAGCGAGAATCACCATGAACATAAGCATCATGGTTGAAGACAGAATAATTCAAGACAATTCATAGGTAGAAAAACCTCATAACTTCCTATAGCAGACGACTATACAACCATACAAACAATAATCCAGCCAAGAACACTCACTCTAGACTGCAATTCGCCGCTGAAGGAACCGCCCCAAAATTTCTTACTGTCCGCAGTCTTTCAAGACTTCCGCTCTTCTTCTCTTCACCTTCATTTCCACTCCTCCCACGCCTCCTCCCTCCCAGCTCTACAGTCTTCTCCTGTCCCATTCATTGCTGGCATTGACTTGTCAAGCACTGAAGACCTGACAATTTGATTTATTTCCCTCATCAAACTGCCAAGCTCAGCTGCCATCCGCCTTTGTTTTCTTTGTGCGTGATTGCGCCCCAAGTGTGTGTCTTTTTTTCCTCTGCGCCGCTGCGTCAGACAAACAACAGCTCGCCACACGCAAATAGCATCAAGCACATCGGAACCCGAGTCGTCCTCGAGTAACTCCTTTTTTTTTCGCCTCTGTAACTCGTGACGTCTCTGCTCCCATTGCCGCTTTTGGTCTGGAAATCTCAATACGGCCTGCGCCCATCTGCGTTCTGTTCGTTACACACAGCAAGAGCTAGATCTACGTCGAGTCCATCGGATACTGCTTATTTGGTTGGCATTTTCGAGACACTGCTGCGCGCGCATTAACGTTGCTGTCGTGCATATCGGAAGCTTCCAGGCGGGACTCCAAAACAGAGACGAGAGAATTACTACATCAACAATGGCAGCTCCCACACAGCTTGCTTGTAGGTCTTCCTCCTCGCATTTCTATAAACAAGACAACTTGTCGCCTATCTTAGGTTCAAACGAGAATGCATGAATAGTGCTGACTTGCCGCAGTCCGAACGGTCAAAGGGATTGGCATCTTGGATGCGGCCCCCGTCTATGAACCTTTGTCGGGGTTTGTGAAGTAAGGATAGCCATTTGCCGCCTCTATGCAAATGATTCAGGCTAATAGAACTTGTGTTGTGCAGACCTGAGGGGAATCTCCGCTGTAGCGCTTATTCTCCATGCGGCCGATATTTTGCGTGGGCTTCTCCCGAGAGGTATGCGACCATGGCGATTGTCAGAAGATCTGGCAGACGGACTCGCTAACTATCTGCTTTAGGGTCACTATCGTCGATCCTTCTGTTGGACACGTCGTCTCCACGATTTCCGCCGAAAATGTCTTTGAGCTGGGATTCTCCCCCCTCGGCACCTACCTGATCACTTGGCAGCGACCCTCGAAGGACGCCAACGGAGACGCCGTCAGGAACCTCAAGGTCTGGAAGGTGATTGAGACATCGCCTGAGAGCAACGGAGACGAGCATACGGTTGTGGGCAGCTTCGTTCAAAAGTCGCAGACAGGCTGGAACCTTCAGTACACCTTCGATGAGCGCCTCTGCGCTCGCGTCGTTACCAATGAGGTCCAGTTCTTCCAGAGCGACAACCTGTCAAAGGTTTGGAACAAGCTGCATGTGGACGGTGTGTCGGACTTTGCCCTCTCTCCCGGCAAAAACAACTCGATTGCTGTCTTTATTCCCGAGCGCAAGGTTAGTTTTCCGATCGTGGGTCTATCGCAATGATTTCACAGCCGACTTACTTGTTTTCCTCTTTTCGTCGACAGGGTCAACCAGCAGCGGTCAAGGTGTTCAACGTGCCTCAGTTCGGAGCGCCCGTTTCCCAGAAGAGTTTCTTCAAGGGTGACAAAGTCCAGCTCAAGTGGAACAGCCATGGAACGACCTTGCTGGTGCTTGCGCAGACCGAGGTCGATCGCAGCGGCAAGAGTTACTACGGCGAAACCACTCTGTACCTGCTTAGTGCTAATGGTGGCTTTGATTCGCGCGTGGACCTTGGTAAGCTCTTCCGGTCTGTCTTCCCCCGTTGTACATCTGGCTGACTCTGCCCATTAGACAAGGAGGGTCCGATTCACGATGTGTGCTGGAATCCCAACTCAAAGGAATTCGGTGTTGTGTACGGATACATGCCCGCGAAAACCACCATCTTCAACTTCCGGGGTGTGGCCAAACACAGTTTCCCTCTGGCACCTCGCAACACCATCCTGTTCTCTCCCCATGGACGTTTTGTATTGGTCGCTGGGTTCGGTAACTTGGCCGGACAGATGGACATTTACGACTTGGACAAGAACTACAACAAGGTGGCGACCGTTGAAGCGTCGAATGCCAGTGTCTGCGAATGGTCGCCAGATGGACAATTCATTCTGACGGCTACCACTAGTCCGCGTCTTCGAGTGGATAACGGCATCCGGATCTGGCACGTCAGCGGTGGATTGATGTACAACGAGGACATGAATGAGCTGTACGAAGTCGTCTGGAGGCCCCAGTCGACCATCCAGCACCCTCTGGGCGATCCCTTCCAGTCTCTCCCGGCCCCTCACCCGTCCGCCCTCGTCTACCTGAGTACCAAGAAAGCGCCCGTGAAGCCGGTCGGCGCCTACCGTCCCCCGGGCGCCCGTGGCCAGCTCACGCCCCTCGCGTTCAAGCGCGAAGATGAGGGCGGCGCAGCCTACATCCGAGATGGCGCCAGTGGTGGCAGCGCGCTGAACGGATTTGGCAAGCCCCGCAGACGCGAGGTGCCGGGCGCTGAGCCGGTCGAGGAATACCTGCCTCCCGGAGCCGCTCCCGGAGGAGGTGTGGCTCTGCCGCCCGGTGCCGACCAGGAGAAGCTCTCCAGGTCGGCAGCGAAGAACAAGAAGAAGCGGGAAGCCAAGAAGCAGCAGCAGCAGGATGGTCTGGCTCCCCCCTCGCACGGCGGCCAGTCCGGACAGAGTCCCGACCGTCGCGGCCACGAGCGTAGCCGGTCCAAGGGCCAGAACGGTCACGTTGACGGCAATGCCCGCCGTAACGGCCACCATCCCAACGGCGCTTCGCAGCCGGCCAAAACGAAACCCGCCGAGGCGCCTGCGCCCCCCGCCGCCGCCGCCGCCGCCGCCGCAGCAGCAGCAGACGCCGCAGCCAACCCCACCGCGCAGGATAAGAAGATCCGAGGACTTCTGAAGAAGATCCGGGCGATCGAGGAGCTGAAAATGCGCCTTGCCGGTGGGGAGAAGCTGGAGGATACGCAGGTGAAGAAGATCCAGACCGAAGACTCGGTGCGCAAGGAGCTCGAGGCTCTGGGATACAATGGATAAGCGGACTATTATAGTCTTTTTTTTTTTTTTTCAGGAAGCGAAATGCAATGATGGAGCTAGAGGCGATCACTCGTGCCTTGCTTTGTGTCTTGGACGTGCTGTGTCTACGTGGGAATATCTCCGCCATATTTCCTCCACATGTTGGAGTTGTAAATAAGGTCGACCATGACTTGGCTTTCTTTCTTCATATGTATTACGCCTTGGAAGGGCTATATGCAGGAAATGAATGGCAAGGGAAGGAATGTACATCGAAAGCGCATTCACACACTGAATCGCTGACATCCCCTCAAATGTCTGTCAAGTCATTGCCTGAGGAGCACTGTTATAGACTCGATTAGATGAACTCGGATGAGAATGGAATTCAGCAACATTTACTTCTACTTCTAATGGCACTCCTAATTATTTCCCGTAAATACTACGTTTAAATGTCCCACCCGAAATATCCCCCGTTTCCTAGTCTTTCTTCACCCTTCAAGTCTGTCCCGTCTGCCCTTCCGCCGACACTGACGCTGATGTAGACCCGTCCGAAGATCGAACGATCAACGCCATCCGATCTTCTCCGCAAGGGAGGACAGATCAGCATCATTGCCTGCGGAATAACAGAACTAGGAGAACCAGACAATCCAGATGACGAAGTGACGACAAAAGTCCTCGATAGAATGGTCGTCAAGGATCGGAAACAGGGGCCCAGAAAACTGGACTCGGATGGGGTTCTTGGCTTGATGTCTCGCATCTGATACAGAGCTTATCCCGTCATGAAGAAGGGATTTCAAGGCATGGTCCTCGCCTTGCGCTCCACCTTGCAGCGCGAATTGTGTGGAGTTTGGAGGCATCATGATGTTTCAGTAAGAGGGAAGGAAAAAAGAACAAGGTGCAAAACTACATTTACCATCAGTGGGATTATTCTCTCGCGTAGGAAGTAGTGGGTATCTCTGTTCGGAATTTCAGGTTAAACTCGAAGAGCGCCTTGGAAGAATGGGCAAAGCCCGACGGCTTCAAGCGAAGATGCGTGCTCGTTTGATAGGACTTCCCATTCGCATTGATCGGTTGCCGCTGGCCATGCCACTCAGAAGGCGGTCCATTCCGTCGACGTCTAACTCTCCCCTGCGGAGCATGAGCTGGTCGGCCTCAGTGGTTGCTGCTTCGCTGACTGACTGCCGAGAGACAGGGACCTCCTCGGGTTCGGTCAGCTTTGGCGCAAGAATGATGATGCGATGTTCTGATGTGACGAGGATATCAAAGTCCTGGCGCTCCGTGTCCCGAGAACGGCGAGCAGCTGCAGGAAGATGACCGATGCCAGTAAAGTTCTCTCCCATCAAGTGGATGTCCTGGATAGTTGAGACTCTGCAGCGGTTTGATGCGTCAAAAGTGCCACTGGCTTTGATGGCGTTACGCCACAGGGAGAGTAAACTAGGGATCACAGCACTCTGACTGCCATGTCGTAGCAATACTGACTCATCAGGCAGCGCGTCTCTCGGTGAATTCGTCTGGTAC